ATAAAAAATCCAATAAATAACATTAGCAGAAGAATTGATCATGCAGAATTTGTGAGCTAAGACAAGCTATTTGAAAATATACAGTCAGGAGGCAAAAAAAAAAAAAAGATGAAAGAAATGAAGAAAGCTATGGGACAACATCAAAAAAGCAAATATTTGGGTCACAGCAGTTCAAGAGAAAGTAGAGAAAGACAAAGGGACAGAAAGCTTATTTAAATAAATAATAACAGAAAACTTTCCAAAACTGAAGAAAGCAATACATATCCACTATAGGAAGGTCAAAGCTTACCAATCAGATTAATCTAAATGACACTGCCTTAAGACATACTATATGCAAACTCAAAAGTCAAAGACAAACAAGATCTTAAAAGCAGCAAAGCAGCAAGAGTAAAGAGGCAAATAACATAGAAGGAAGTTCCAATATGCTTGGCAGCAGACTTCTAAGCAGAAATTCACAGGCCAGGAGGGAGTGCAATGATATAGTCAAAGTACTGAGGGAAAACAGTTGTGACATCCAAAGTTAGAACACAAAATATTCAGAAGGTGGAGGGAGATAAAGCATTGAGTTTGTTTAGTAATCAATGATAACCTGTTATCAGTTTAAAATAACCTGACATAATTGTAAGACTTTTTCTTGTAAGCCTGATGGTAACCACAAAAAACCTATTAATAGATACACTAAAATTAAACCTATTATAAGAGAAAATCATTTGACCAAAAAGGAAGATAGTGAGAGAAGATGAAATATCTAAAAAACAAATAGAAAATAATTAGCAAAATGGAAGTAGTAATTTCCTACCTATCAATAGTTCCTACCTATCAATATAAATTGACTGATTCTCCAATTATAAGACAGAGTAGTTGAATGCACTAAAAAATCCAATTATATGCTACCTAAAAGAGATTAACTTTAACTGTAAGGATACAAATAGGTGGAAAGGAACGGGCAGAAAAAAAGATATTCCATCAAAACTGAAATCAGAGGAGAGCACGAGAAGCTATACTTGTATGAGATAAAATAGACTTTACATCTATAAAGTATGAGATAAAATAGACTTTATCATCATTACATGATGATAAAGGGGTCAATTCAGCAAGAAGTTATAACAATTGTAAATACGTATGTACAATGAACATGGGAGAAAACATATAAAGCAAATATTAAAAATCTGAAGGAAGACAGACTTCAACACAATAATAGAGGATGTCAAAACTACACTTTCAGTAATGCACAGATTATTCAGACAGAAAATCAACAAAGAAATAGTATATTTAAACCACAGTCTAGACCAAATAGATCTAACTGATGTTTACAGAACATTCCATCCAACAGCTGCAGAAAACACATTCTTATTAACTGCACATGGAACATTCTCTAAGACAGATCATATATTAGGCCACAAAAACAGTTTTAAAAAATTTAAAATCAAAATTATATCAGTATCTTTTCTAAACATAATGACACACAACTAGAAATTAGTAATAGAATAAACTCTGGAAATATTACAGATACCTAAAAATTAAGCATGCTATTGAACCACCACTGGGTTAATGAATTAAAAAAGTAATTTAAAAAAGTTAAGACAAATGGAAATGGAAACACAATATACCAAAATCTATAGGATATAGCAATAGCAGTTCTAAAAGAGAAGTTTATAGTAATGAACACTTACACCAAAAAAGAGGAAAGATCTCAAACTACCTAATCTATTACCTCAAAGAATTAGAAAAACAAGAACAAATGAAATTCCAAATTAGCAAATGGAAAGAATAAAGATCAGAGCAGAAATAAACAAAATAGGGACTTAAAAAAAAAAATCAACAAAATAAAGAGGTTTTTTTTTTTTTTGGAAAAGAAACAAAACCAACAAACCTTTAGCTAGACTAAGTAAAAAAGATAGCTGCCTCAAAAAAATAAAATCAGAGATTAAAAGAATAGATATTACAACTGATACCACAGATATACAAAGAATCATGAGACTATTATGAACAATTATATGAGACTATTATGAACAATTATTCTTCACCTAGAGAAAACAAATTCCTGTATTTATTACCTTCCAAGACTGAATTATGAATAAACAGAAAATCTCAACAGGCCAATAATGAGAAAGGAGACTTGAATTAGTATTAAAAAGTTTCCTACCAAAGAAAGGCCCAGGACCTGATGGCATCACTGCTGAATTCTACCAATAGTTACAGAAGAACTAATACTATTTCTTCTCAACGTATAAGATGAAGGAGTTTTTCCTAACTTGTTCTACAAACCCAGCATTACACTGATACAAAAAACAGACAAAAAAGAAAAACTACAGGCCAATATCCCTGAAGAACAGTCGGAAAAACACTGAACAAAACACTATGAAACTGAATTTAACAGCACATAAAAAAGATAATTCACCATGATCAAGTGGGATTCATCCCAGAATATAAGAATGGTTCAACATAAACAAATCAATAAACACAACATACCACATTAACAGAACAATGAAAAAAAAAAAACCGTAAAATGACTTGAACAGATGCAGAAAAATCATGACAAAATTCAATACCTCTTCACAATAAAAACTCTTAACTAGGTATGGAAGTGATATGCCTCAACACAGTAAAAGTCACATACAACAAACCCACTGCTAACTTAATACCAAATGGGAAAAGTTGAAAGCCTTTTACTCTAAGACCTGGAACAGGATAAGGATGTCCACTTTTCCCACTTTTATTCAACATAGTACTGGAAGTTCTAGCTAGAGCTAGTAGGCAAGAGAGAAAAATAAAACATAACAGGAAAGGAGGAAGTTAAATTGTCTCTATTTGTAGATGATATGATACCGAAAACCCTAAGGACTCCACCCAAAACTGTAACAACTAATAAAAAAAACTCAGTAAAGTTGCAGGATACAAAATCAACACACAAAAAAGTAGTATTTCTATATGTTAATAGCTAACTATCTAAAAATGAAACAAACAATCTCATTTATTACCAAAAAAAAAAAACCTAGAAATAAATTTAACCAAGGAGATGACAGATCTCTCAAATCAAAACTATAGAACATTAATGAAAGAATTTGAAGAAGACACAAATGGAAAGATATGCATGTTCGTGGATTGGAAGAATATTGTTATAATGTCCATATTGCTCAAAGTGATCCATATGTAATGTGACATCTATCAAAATACCAACAACTTTCTTCACAAAAGTAGAAAAAAACAATTCTCACATTTGTATGGAACCCCAAAAGGCTGTGTATAGCCATGATCAAGTGGGACTCATCCCAGAATATAAGAATGGTTCAACATAAACAAATCAATAAACACAACACACCACATTAACAGAACAATGAAAAAAAAAATGAGCAAAAAGAGCAAATCTGGAGGCATCAAAGCATCTGCCTCCAAAATGTAGTACAAAACTATAGTAACCAAAACAACTTGCTACTGGCATAAAAACAAACACACCAATAGAACAGAGAACCCAGAAATAAATCCATACATATACATAGAGTCAACTGATTTTTGACAAAAGTGCCAAAAACATATGTTGGGGAAAGGACAGTCTCTCTTCAATAGTGGTGCTGGGAAAAATGAATGAATATCTGTATGTTGAAGAAAGAAACTAGATCCTGTCTCTTATCATATACAAGAATCAATTCAGAATGAGTTAAGGACTTAAATGTTAAGACTTGAAACTATGAAAATACTAGAAAACAAATAGGGGAAATGCTTCGTAACATTGGTCTGGACAAGGAATTTTTGGGTAACACCTCAAAAGCACAAGCAAAAAGACAAAAATAAATAAGTGGAATTACAACTAAAAGGCAAAGGAAACCATCAATAAGGAGACAACCTATGCAATGGCAGAAATATTTGCAAACTATACATCTGACACATGGTTAATATCCAAATATATAAGAAACTCAAACAACTCAATAGCAAAAAACCCCAAAAACCAGTTAAATATGAGCAAAAGACCTGAATAGACATTTCTCAAAAGAAGACATACACATGGCCAACAGATATATGAAAAAAAAATGTTCAATATTATTAATTATCAAGGAAATGCAAATGAAAACCATGAGGCAAAACAATGAGGTATTGCCTCATCTCAGTTAGAATGGCTTACCAAGAAGACAGAAGAGAACTTGTTGGCAAGGATGTGGACAAAAGGGAATCTTTTATACTATTGGTGGGAATATATAGAAAACAGTATGAGATTCCTCAAAAAAGTAAAAATAGAACTACCATAAGATCAAGCAGTTCTACTATTGGGTATATATACCCAAAGGAAATTAAATGAGCATGTCCAAGAGATGTCTGCATTCCCATATTTACTGCAGCACTTTCCACAATAGCCAAGATATGGATCCAACCTGTGTCTACTAACAGAAGAATGGATAAAGAAAATTTGGTATATAGTCACAATGGACTATTCTTCACTATTTTTTTTTTAAAAAAAGAAAGAAATCCTACCATTTGCAATACTGATGAACCCAAAGGGCATTATAAACCAGGCACAGAAAGACAAAGACTACATGATCTCACTCATATGCAGAATCTTAAAATGTTGATCTCTTAGAAGTAGTGAGTATAATGGTGGTTATCAGAGGCTAGAGCGTTTAGCAGGGAGAAGGGGATGGGGAAATCTTGATCGGATGACATAACTACAGTTAGATAGCAGGAATAAATTTCAACAGCTGTCTTGTACAGCAAGGTGACTATAGTTAATGACAATGTATTGTATTCTTGAAAAATGTAAAATTTGTGGATATTAAGTGCTATCACCACAAAAACAATAACTATGTAAGTTAGTATATTTGTTAGCTAGATTTAACCATTCCACAATGTATATATACCTCAAAACATTATGTTGTACAAAATAAACACATGTTATCTGTACATTTGAAAAATAAAATATAAAAATGCTTACATTATAGAAAAAAGAGAATGATACTGCTTTTAAAAGCATGCTTTTAGTTTTAGTTTCACATTTCTGTCTCTCTTACCTCTTGATCTTTTTTAGTTTTTCTTTCTAGAGCCTCAAATTCATCCAAATCATTTTTTTCTTTTAATTTCAATTCCAGTTCTTCTTTTTCTCTTTGTAGTTGTTCATAGTCTAATACCAGATTATCATAATTAGCACGAAGTGAATTCAACTCACTTTCTACATTCTCCTATTATAAACAAGAACAGATTTTCCAATCAGGAAATTTATATAATATATTCTTTGTTTCCTTAACAAAATTTGGATAATTTAAATAACTAATTTAACTTTGATTCAGTATCTTTCTAAAGGCCAAAATTTTGGTTAACTAGCTAACTTAGAATACATTATTCTGAAAGAATTAGAATTTTAAAAATCATATCAATAAATTATATGTTTGCCTGTGCCTGACAGGGAATTTTGACCATAGATCCTCAAACTCCATAGTATTAAAACTGATATTTTAATTCCCCAATCTTACTAACTCCTATTTTATGTCTCAGATGCCTCTGAATTCAGGAATGATAACAGAGATATTGTTTATTGACTTATAAAACTAATGATAGCTATGTTTTACTATACTTAAAGAGGCCTATTTTTACTTTCTATATTATTATGAGAAAGAGATAAATTATGAGGTAAAAGATACTTTTTTACACCAGAGATTGTAAAAACAAAAGAATATATGTATTCTAATATATGTCTTAAGAACATAAAAATGCTTTGTCAATAATACTTTACAGACATATACTAACAATAAGGAACACTGCCATTATATTCTAAAATTATAATGAAAATTTTTTTAATGCATTATACAACTATGTCTTTAAGCACAAGCAATTTACAAAGTAAATATGAAATCTAAACTTACTAATGTATTCACCAAAATTAGCTCTCCCTGATGTATTATTATTCTATACAGTATATATGCCTGAGAATTAACACTTTAAAAATCAAGTCTTTTTAACCTCAAGAAGTTTATCAAGGCAAAACAGAAACTTTACAAACACCATGAATACCAAGATCTGCCAGTAAAGAGCTAGAAGTGAAGGTTTACCTACTAGCACATGTCTGCCTTATGAAATTTTTAGCCTTCCCCTAGATGCCTGATGATTATGGAGTAGATGTGTAAAGAGTGAGAGAAGCCTTCATTAGAGTCAAAATAGTTACTGAAATTAAATGAGAACAAGTAACAACAAAATCTAATAACAAAAGAATTCTAAAAAGAGCAAAAGCATTATATGCTGTAAAATACATTAAGTTACCTGATCTCGTAGCTTTGTTGCTGGATTCCATTCTATCTCACTTAATGTATCAAGAGTGTTACTGAAAACATCAGACTCTGAACAGAGAGCTATAATCAGAGAAAAAAAAAATTGTCCATAAACATGTTTACCAAATTTCCTAAATCAAATTAAGGATTACTATAAAAATTCTTATCAGATGTAATAAGAACTTCAAATTAACTAATACGTGCTCAGAGTAGGAATACTAAAAGGACATTAATAGTTGTGGTCATTTATATTATTGTATGAATTAAGATAATCACTGATTGCAATTAGTGATATAATATAGGATCCCTAATGAAATATAGGTTAAAAGGACAAATTCTGAATTTGAGATTTGAGCATTTTAAGTAGATTTAAAATGCTCCCCCAAACAGATCATAATATTGAAGAAATAATTTTGAAAGATTCCTACATCAATGCCACTCTTAAGATTAGCAAAGGCAGATGCCATATAACAATAATTTAATTGAATCATGACTAGAACAAAAATAAAAACACCTGTCTAGTGTGTTTCAACTAGTGCATCATTCTTAAGAGATTCAGAATTAATAAATAATTTATGAATGATTACTTTCTATTTATTTATTTATTATTTTGAGACAGAGTTTTCGCTCTTATCTCCCAGGTTGGAGTGCAATGGATCTCAGCTCACTGCAAGCTCCATCTCCCAGGTTCAACGGATTCTCCTGTGTCAGCCTCCTGAGTAGCTGGTATTACTGGGATTACAGGCATCTGCAACCATGCACAGCTATACTTTTTTGTATTTTTACAATTACTTATTTAAATCATAATCTCCATTGTAATCACATCTGAAATACACACTATTTAAACATGTTCATCACATTAACTGAGCTGTAAACATAGTTTCTCTTTATAAGGATGTTTTTATAATTTAATTTAGTTCTACTTGAAAAAAAACACTCACATTCATCAATTTCTCCTAATAAACTTAAAGAAGGCTTGTGTGTTTTTGTTGTTATATTTGCTGGCAAATTAAACTGATCTTCATAGTTTGAGTTCTTCATTTTGTTAATTTTGCCAAGGCACCAAGTAACTCTTCGTTTTCTTTTAGCCTAAAGAAGAAATCAAAATTATGTCATATAGATGTGTGTTCAAAATAACAAGGGAACTAGTTTCTATTTTTGAAAACTATTGACTTGGTAGAATTCTTATTAAGCCAGATTAAAATTTTACTAGTCTAAGGATATTGCTTTTTTTTAAAAAAATCAAACTCTTGACTCCTTAATTCACTCTAACCACCATTTTCTTTTTTTTTTTTTCTGCTTTGTCCTCATCATTTATCCCCTCCTTCCTCAACACTTCAGGGACCCCTGTTCTCCTGGTTCTTACCTTACCCAGCTGGCTGTCCTTATTGCTCACTCTACTTTTCTCTTCTTGTGCCTGCCTCTTAAGTGTTTGTGATGATACTTTTATCAAGTATCATCCTTACTACATCTTTTCAACAGATAAGCTGTGTGCCCAATAAGTTTGGAGAAGTTGTATAAGGCTGTATAGCAAATTGGTGACTGAGTCCACGTCAATAACTTCCGAGCCTATCCACACAACCTTTCCACCACATTGCCTCTTAAGATTATTTGTTGTCCCCAGAATATACTGCATACTCTCATGCCTCTCTGTGTGCTGTCCTTCTCCTTGAAATGGCCAGCCCTTTACACATCCCACTCTGCAAAATCTGTTTCATATATAAATCCTCGACTTCAAAAACCGTCAGTTTAACACCATTTGCTACCAAAGTCACACCTGGACTTGTCATTATCTGGAAGTCATAAACCTAGACCTCTTGCTCTTAATGCAGTTGCTATCCTTCCAACTCACTGATTTAGTTAATGCCACCATAGCTATTTACCTTATCAGGGGCTATTTAGCTCTATTCCATTATTGCATGACTTTTTTTTTTTTGCCATCTCTTTCTTGGTTCTCACCCTATCATCTTAGATTTCATAGACCATCACTGCAATCATGTTTGAAATTTGAGGTCAATATTCTCAAATTATTTGACCCATTCTCTGTCCCTTATGTGTACCCCACAGGGCACAGTCAAATGACATTGTGTTCTAGACCTGTATCAGCCTCCTGAGCACTGCCAGTGCCACAGAGCCAGAAGACTGGCTGAGAAGATAAACTGGATTTTTAATGCTGTGTGGCAATACTCCTCACTCCCTTTCAGCTTTCTTTTTCACTATCTACAAAGGCTAGACTATTTCAAACCCTTAGTATCTCTGCAAACTTATCACTCTATCATCACTCAGAAGAAAAATTAAACCTATTTCACAAAGAAAATATAAACCTAAACTCTTAAGAGTCCCACCTGCACAGAGGCCTATCCTTTACTCTCTATTTGTTAAAATTCAAGAGGTGTCTCTCCTCTTATGTAGCCCAATTCTTTCTACTATATTCAAGATCCCACCCAGCTGGGCCACCTCAACACACTGTAAGGTGGCTTTCACCCCACCACTTAACTCAAATTACTTTTGCAAATGAACTCTGTATTTCTAAATGCAAAGAATTTTTGTCCATCTTGATCTTATTTAACTTCTTAGCACAATATGACAACTGCAGACCACTACCTCCCAGAAATATTCTGTCCCCTTAGCTACCATATTCACTAGGTTTTTTTCTTTTCCAGAGCTAAACTCGGGCTTCTTTATGGATTCTTCTTTCTTGGCCTTTACCCAACTGGATTTTTCCTTCTGTTACTTTGCCTTCTGTTCCCTTATCTCAACATTCAACCAGAACAAACTTTAATTTGGATCTGTAGTAGCTCATGCCCAAATTGATATTTGTATCTCAAACCTTCTACCTCATATTCACACATTTGCATTTTACTGCCCGACTTCTCAAACAAAAGAAATCCCAAATAAAACACCCACCATTTCCCCTGTTCTTTATTCAGCATTCCTTAACTCAACCAATATTGTTACCAGCTACCCAGGAAGCCAAGCAATGCTTGCAAGTCATTCCGGACACCTTCTTCTCTCTTTCCCTGCCCCCAACATCCAAATAATTGCGAAGCCCTGCTATGTTTATTTTCCAAACATTTCGCCAATTTATCCAATTTACTCCAACTCCAGCGTCACAATCTGCAGGCCGAAGCAATCTAATGTTCACAGCAGCTACATCCTTCTCAACTACAATTATGATGTCACATACAAGGCTGTTCTTTGTTGTTAGCAAAACGTCACATTCAAATCCCTCAAAGGGGTTTAAAACACCCCTGCTACTAGAACATCTTAAGTTCAAGGAATTCATCATGTTTCTTCACAACTCCAAGCTTTTGCACATGTAGGTCTAGTCCTAAAACATTTTTCTCTAGGTCATTCATTGGACTATTTCCTGCTCACCACTCAATAATTCTTGATTGTCTTCTGTATACCTAGTATGGTGACTTGTACATAATGCTTATTCATAATACTAATAATGTACATTTGTTGAGAATATGCTGTGTGGAAAGTTCTGTGTTAAGCTAATTCTACCTATTATTTCATTTAATTCTTGCATAAGTCTTAAGAGGTGAATATCGAGCTATTCCACACTGCTACTTGCACAGGAAAAAGCAGAAAAGTGAATTCAAGAAATAGACCAAGGCCAAGAGTTAGGAAATGACAAATTCAAATCCAGGCAGTCTAGCTCCAGAGGTCATCCTCTTAATCATGACACCCTCACACCCCTAAAAAAGTCTATTGAATAAATAAATTCCTACTCAATTAAAAGAATTAAAAACAAACAAACCACACAAACTGTTCACTGTTGTTTTTATCTCTTTTGCCAGACTCTACATTGACACAATTATGTTGTTTTATATTCCACATCTATTTTCCAGAGATTAATATTTCTGTTTAAGTAGAAAACAATATTCTCACATATCCTAGAAAACTGTAGCTTGTAATCACCCAGTTTCTTTAAAATTTATTAAGCAGCATATTACAAATAAATTATTTAAATATATTCCATACTTCTTGAATTAGAATCTCTACAGGTGGGAATCAGAAATTGGTATTTTTAATGAATCTCTTAGGTAAGGTGAAAACACAAAATGTTCTGAGTTTCTTGAATATACTGTATCAAAGGATAGAAAGTGCATAACTATATAATAAACATACTGAAATACCAAATCTATTCACTGTATATCCAGTTTAAGCTGTCATCTTTTAAATTTTACCTTTAATTCCTGTTGTGATGTGAGGGAAGAAGAGGTCACCAGCATCCGTGTTAAGTTTTCAATTTTCTCATTCTGTACTTTCTGAAGCAAATCTTTTTCTTCTAAAAGTTGGGCTAATTGGTCTTTTTCCACTGCCTGAGCCCGTGTCTCTAAAGAAACCTATAGAATGCAATATTGAATTATGTTAATAAATGTGGATAAGTTTTAAAACCTTAAAAGTAGTATAAAAGAATATTAAATTTGTATATGAACTACAAGAATTTTAATTTCACCAAAATAATATACTCTAACTGCAGAACACCAAAATAAAGTTACCATAATGAATAATTTCTCAAACTTGCAAAAAAAAAAAAAAAAAAAACAAAACACATTTCTTCCATGTAACTATTCTATATACCATGTAAACGACAATGGTGCTGTTAATATAACTCTATGAATTACCTAAGAAGATATGAATAGGCAGAAGTCACAAAACAAAGACTTGATTCCAATAGTAAAGACAGAGATGTTCTCATAAGATTACCATCTTGCATTTTAGATCATTTTAAAAAAAGATCATTAATACATGATTTCTACAAAATATGGGACCATGATGGTTAAAACAAACTAATATGATAAGTAATTATGCTATATTATTAGATTGCTACATAAGGGTTAGAAGAGGAATTCAGGATAACATGAAAATACAGAAAGTAGTCCTAGTAACTCTGTGTAGTTTCTCTTTTTAACCAAATTCATATGTATTTGTGAACATTTTTAAGAAGTATCTCTGTTTGGCCCATTTGATAATCTCAGATTTTGCCCTTTAAAAATAAAAAACAAAATCTAAAATAATTTCAAGAACTAAATCTTACATTTTATAGTCAATTAAACTAAATTTTTTGAGTGATTTCTTCTTGATAAAAGTGATTTAAAACAAGTTGTAGCAACTCAGACATTCAGGAAATAAGAGTCTCGGAACACTTGGGTAGGTCTCCATTCTTAATTGGTTCCTTCTATTTACTGAAATAAATGGTTCATACATACCTCCTCTAGTTGTTTTTTAAGATCCATTATTTCTTTTCTATACCTTTTCAGGAGAGCTTCATCACTTGATACCTCATTAACATAAGGAGTATTCTTCATATATTTAGCAGTACTGGCAAACTGGAAAAAAATGCAAAAGTGCTAAGTGTCCAACACTTAAAAAAATTATAATTTAATTAAAAATATTTAGCTTTCTCATATTCAAGTTAAAAAAATCAATACTCTTTCCAGTTGGCTTAATACTTTTTAACAAAGGGAACATTCTAAGTCCTTATAACAATGCTCTGTAACTTACCCTGGCTAATAGTCTTCAGGAGAATAAAAAAGATATCTTGAGAGAACTTAAAAACATCAGCTTATTGGAATCCAACTTAGCCCTTGAGGTTCAGTGCTAACACTTCCTCTACTCTGAAGTTTTACTTCTAGCCAAAAATGTCTCTTCTTTTAAACTCTATACTAGTTACCAATTAACTACTAATCAAAGGCAATTATGTTGCAAGACAAGTGTTATTGCCTTGTCACAGAATTCATTAATTCTGTTAAGCCAGGGACTCTAGTTTCTCTTTGCACCTCTGACAGTACCTTGATCTGGTACTCAACAGCTATTTAAAGCAATTTTTCTCAGAGTATAAGTACCATAAGTAACTTTAGGTGGTACATGACAGTGACCATTAGAAAACATTGAATCCTTCATTGAGAAAGCTACCCCTACTGACATTTCTCATTTTTCCTTCCCTTTTTTTTTTAAAATTTTTTTATTTTTTAAGACGGAGTTTCACTCTTATTGCCCAGGCTGGAGTGCAAAGGCGAGATCTCGGCTCACTGCAACCTCTACCTTCCAGGTTCAAGCAATTCTCCTCCTGCCTCAGCCTCCTGAGTAGCTGGAATTACAGAAATGTGCCACCATGCCCAGCTAATTTTGTATATTTAGTAGAGATGGGATTTCTCCCTGTTGATCAGGCTGGTTCTTTTCCTTTTTAAAACACAAAATGTAGGCCTTGGGCTCAGAGCGAATGAAGGCAACAGTTAACTACCAGGAGTTTCAGAATTATTTTGTTATACAGACAGACACACAATTTTTTTGTTACCTTCTGTCTGTGGCAAGTAACAATAGTTTGTCACTGATAGGACTGATATTAAAGTTTCCTTTTACAATAAATTAAGTACAAAAAGTGAGTTATTTTTAAAAAATATCAAGTAAATTTCAGTAAAATATTGTTGGATGTGGTAAAAATGAAGATAAGATACGCACAACTGTAGTCTGGCAAAATTAAATTAAGAGACGCTATTTAGCAGACAAAAGGTATGCTAATTGATTACAACAGGTAGGCTAATCAATTAAAAAAACTGACAATTTTAGTAGGTAATTTTTTCTTCTTCAAGTTGATCTTCCCCCATATTATGTTGAGGTAAAAATCAAACTCACCTGGAGAGTAGTAAGGGTTTCATCAAAAGATACTGGAGTAATTGTGCAGATAATACGTGTCTTTGCATTTCCTCCCAAGGAATTCTGGAGAATTCGTGTTAACTTGCTATCTCGATAATTTATGAAACCACTTAGTAAGGAATAAGTTTATGGGAGAAAAAGATTGAAAATGTTTATATAACAAAGTAGTTGGTTTTTAATGCAAAACAAATCAGCCACAGTTTCAAAAATTAGTTCTTTACAGATTTTATGAGGCACATTAAAACTACTAAATAAAGCATATTTAAAATAGAAAGTAAATTCAGTAGACTATAGTCATATGTATAAGCTTTTGAATATATGGAAGGAATCAGTACATTTGAGTGTCAATGAAATACTGCAATTTTCAACCTAGTCAAAAATATAAAAATTAGTAGGTAAGTGCACAACAGGATAAACTTACCCAACCTGTCCATCACTAAGTTTCTTGATCACTTGTCCCAAAATAAATAAGCTTCGATTTATATTACAGCCTTCCTTGAGCCGCACACCTGAATTAAACAAATATGAAAACTAAACTTGACTCCTTTTCTAGATGACAAACTTATTTATCACTCAGTTAATGAGAGAAATAAGAGGGCAGATGCTAAAGTCTATGCTCTGGATTAGAACTGAGCCCATTTTTAATATTAGTATCAGTTGTGGAAGGAGCGCTCTCCCTATTTGTCCCACCTATTCAAATGAATAGTTTAGTTAGCTTTGCTGTAACATTGCTACTGAACCAACCAGCTAAAACAAGCATTTATTTTTTGTTCACAGTTCTGAGGATGGGCTGTTTTGGTGGATGTAGGCAAGGCTTAGTTGAGTGGCCCTACATTAGGCTGCAGAATGAGCTCAAGTCTGTTACACAAACTTCTTATTTTCCTTGGATCAGCAGCTCTTCTAATGGCAAGGGTGCAGGTGCAAGCTAAACCATTTAAGCATTAGGAATTATTCATTATATCCTTTGCCCAGTTTTTTGCTGGTTTCTTCTAAGCTTTTCTTTAAAGGCATCTGGACTTTGTATCAGTTAGTTACAAAAGGGTTTTCCCACTGTAAGTTGACTTACACTAATTTTTACATTGAAATTTTTGAGCCACTTATAATGCATTTCTTGGTGTCTGATATATGGATCCAACTTAATTTTCTTTCCAAATGGCTATCAATTAATAAATAATCTATTATTTTCTTCAAAAATTTGAAGGACCGTCTTTATTGTATTCCAAGTTCTGTATTTGGGACTCTTGCTGGATTTTCTATTCTATTCCACTGGGCTGACAATTCACACAGTTTTATTTACTATGGCATTATAATATGTTTCACTATCTCATAGGGCTAAATTCCACTTTCTGCTCTTTTTTGGAATTTTCCTGGTTACTCTTACCTGTTTTAATGTTTACATACATATTTTAAAATCTTCTTACCTACTTTAAACATGAAAATGTACTCTTGATATTTTTTATAGGATTGTATTAAATCTAGAAATTAACACATAGAGGCCTGACATCCTTGTGAGTTTGAATCTTCCCCATCTAAGTATGCTTCTCCATTTTTCAAGTATTTGATGTGTCCTTTAAGTCTGATTTAAAGTTTCTTAGGCCAGGTGTCGTGGCTCATGAACTTTGGGAGGCCAATGTGGGCAGATCACTAGAGGCCAAGAGTTCAAGACCAGCCTGGCCAACATGGTGAAACTCCATCTCTACTAAAAAATACAAAAATTAGCTGGGTGGGATGGTGCATGCCTGTAATCCCAGCTACTTGGGAAGCTGAGGCATGAGAATTGCTTGAACCCAGGAGGTGGAGGTTGCAGTGAGCTGAGATCGTGCCACTGCACTCCAGCCTGAGAGAGAGAGTTACAGTCTGCCTCAAAAAAGAAAAAAAGATTTTCTTTACATTAGTCTTGTACAATCTTTGTTGAGTTTCTTCCTAGGTATTACATCTTTTAAGTTATTATAAATGGAATATTTTTGTTTATTAAATATTTTAGCTGGCTTTTGTTTATTAATATTTTATCTGGTTTATTAATATCTGTATATTAATTTTGTACCCCACTATCTTTCTTAATTTCCTTATTTTGAAAGTTTAAACAGTTTTCATGGAACTCTCATGGGTTTTCCTGCTATACAGTCCTATCAATTGTATAATTGTAATATTTAAATTGATGCTATAGTAAAAATTAACCAGATATAGATGCTGATTTCTATGTTAAAGACTTTTATTAGAAAATAATCATTAATAATGATTTGTTATTAGCAATGAATATTATTACTTTATCCTTTTCTAAAAATGCCTGGTAGTACTTTTTAACCCTATAAAATAGGAAGACATTAAGATTAACATATTTCACCTAATGTAGATGACGGGTTGATGGGTGCAGCAAACCACCATACCACGTGTATACCTATGTAACAAACCTACACATTCTGTACATGTACCCAAAAACTTAAAGTATAATAATAATAAAAAGACTAACATTATTTCATATTTCATGAGTTTTCATTACCTTCAGCTCCTGTTTGAGCAGCTCTTTCACTGCCTGCAAGATCAACCAAATTCTGTAAGATAGATAAAAATAAATATTTAGGGCAGATAATTTGCAATAAGAAAACTTGAACTGAAAGAACATTTTTAAAACATGGTATACCTGAATATTCTATCTGTATACATGTCTCCATGCTATTGTTTAGGCATTCCCTTTCTTCTCTGAGTCTAACTGTTCTTATCTGTTCTTTTCTTTGTATCTTCCATAACGCTGCCAGTGTAGGTTCTGTTTCCCACACAAAGTCCAAAAATTTACCATGGCAAATATAATTCTTTATAAGCTGTCACTTGCATTGCTCCAACTTTATATCTATTCAACCCTTATTCTTACCTCTAGCTAAACTATCCACTATTCCCCAAATAGCCATGTACTGCTACACCTCCAAGCACCAGCTTTTTGCTGTTTCTTTTATTCAGTTAGTTCTAATGTTCTAGTCTGTCCTTATTCTTTATTCAAGAACCAGGTACAAAGATTACCTGCTTAATGTAGCTTTGCCTACTTTATCCTTCCTCCCCTCTTCTCTGATGAACTGCATTACAGAACTCGTTATAAACGTGACTTAAAGATACAACTTAAATTTATAGCACTGATTTTGTTGGGCTAGTCATGTATGCTAGCTGTATTATGCTATAACAATACCATGACTTTACTGTAGCATCTTTAAGAGCGGGACCTCTCTTTCATTTCACACATATTATTTAAAAGAAGTGACTACTTATCATGCTCCAGGCAGTGTATTAGGTGCTAGGGCTACAAATAAATAAGGTCTCTGCTCTTATGGAGCTTATATTCTACATAGAGGAGGAGGCTGGTGAGAAGAGATAAAAAGACAAATAAGAAACGTCATGATAAGTGTAACAGAGACTATTTAAAAATAGAGCTGGACGAGGAACTAGCAGCTTCACTGGATTTGATGGCAGTGGAAGGCTTGTCATTAAGCTGAGATCTAAATGACAAGAGAAGAGGAAGCTGGTCCCAAACAGATCAAGGAAAACAGTAGTCTAGACAAAAAGAAGAGCCAAAACACTTAGTCACAAAGAAGAATGTGCTCAGTGTGTTCAAAAAAATAGAAAAGGCAGTGTGACAAAATTGGTGAAGCGAAGACAGTAAAAGACAGCATAAGAGCAGCAGACGGGCCAGATTACATAGGACTTTTAAGGTAAGATCAAGAAGTCTGAAATGTCTAAATTCAATGAGAAGCCATTGCAGGGCTTTACACAAGGAAGTAATACAACCCTGCATACAGCCCTGCAATGGCTCCCACAATGGACCCACTATGACTACTGGGTGGAGGATGGATTGGGAAGGCGCAAAAGCAACAGCAGGCAGCCCCATCCTGTGGCTGGGGCAGGAATCAGTGAAAGATAATACCAGATTGGGTTAGGGAGGTGACAGGGGAGATTGCTTATAAAGTAAGCAGTGGAGAGATTTCTTGTTTATTATTATTTTTTTAAATCTTAGAGCCCAACACCATGCTCAGAATACCATAAAGGTTTAGTAAACATTGTGAGTAAATTAAAAGAAAGTCAAGGCTTTAAGTTATTTCTCTCTGTGGAGATTTCTGAGACTAGGCAGGTAAATATGTATTAATGGTTTAAGGAGTCTAATTTTTCTTGCACAGTGTCCACTACAGATGACATAGATACATAATAAAAAGGCAAAGTGTTAATGAAGGCAGCATGAGTGGAGGTTAAAGATGAGAACAAACATTCATATTCAAAGATATTCAGAGGCCCAATCTATGAGGGAGGAGTTCATGTGGAGCAGAAGGAAATAAAGTTAGATTGGTTAAGAGTGGCCAAATCTTGTCCCAGGAAGTGACACTATAAAAGCAGTGGTTAGTATATTAGAAATCCATATGATGACTTCAAGACACAAAGACAAGAGTCATGGAGACCAGGTTCCAGGAGACTGCTGTAGTCATTCAAGAGAGATGAGAAAGTAAATGAGTGTAATACCCATGTAATACCTTCAAAGGTAGGATCAATAAGAAATGGGACAACTGGACAGAGAAAGGCAGAAAAAATTGAGTCAAAATTGACTTGGGTGTCCAGTTTAGGCAGCTAGAATAATGCTGATTTTACTGGAAATAAGGAGTATTCACTACGGTCAGAAGAAAATAGTTTGGTTTTAGATATATTAATGTTTCAGATAATGATGGGACACAATTATAACCATCTTTAGGAAGACATGAATTAGAATTCAGAGACTAGATAAATATTTGGCAGTCATCAACATGAAAATGATGATAGAATGTTTGAGAGCAAGAACTTAATTAAGAAAGGCCACAGGATACCTCCAAATTTTTTATTTTTATATTTTTAGGAGGGTAAGGAAAAAGCTGCCAGGGTGGAAAAGAGAGAAGGGGTAGAGCTAAGAGAACCTGGATATTATCATCTCACCAAGGCCAAGTGACAATCAGAGAAGAGCCACTTCTAAAGAGCCAGAGATGACTCGTTAGAGGAGATTTCTTTCCAAGAAGATTCTTAGAATAAGTGGGTAGGCTGGAAGTTTGGAAGAGGTGGACCATGGATAACAGAGCATCAAGAAACATGAGGAAAATCGTCAAGTAGATCACTGAATATTCCAAGAGTATTAAAACTAAATTATTATATTAAAATTATATGAAATATCACAGTCTTGGGTGAGAAAACAAAACAGGTTAGGTTTTGGTTTTTTATTGTTAAAACAAGATTAAGATCTACTATAATAAGTTATACCATGTTATAGAAAAATAGCTAAGGTGAAATTAGGATTGAATATTAATAATCTAATTTTATAAAATCTGAAAATGAATAAACAAATAGATTGCTTGTTTCCCTGAAGTTTTCTAATCAAATAATCTTAAATCATATCCCACATCAAGCTAAAGATTTAAGCCCTAAAGATGTGAAATAAACCAATATGGGAAATGACAGAAAAGGAGCAAGAAAGAGACAGCAATAATTTAGTGTGGCAAAAAGGAAGTGGGAGGTTTACTTATGTGGAATATAGGAATGTTGCATAATGCTTATATTCACTTATTTAATAAATATTAGATATAAAATAGGTACAATGTGTTGGGGCTACAAGAATGAATGCAGTATCACTCCTCTATGGATTTACAGTCTAAAATACTACGTTTATAATACAAAATATATTTTCTTATTTTACTTAGGTAAAACTAAAATAATGTGATTACTTTTTAACCATCCCACCTAGATTTCTGTTGATCACATAAGTCTAAATTATATCGGCTGAGATTTTTTTAAAAAAACCCTCAAATTTCAAGATGACTTAAATTGTTAAATGTATAATAGAAAAAAACCTACTTCATTAGTGGTTAGAAAAAACATCAGTTCCTATAGCCCTGACATTTAAATTTTAGGAGATAGCAGCCATGATATAACAGGAAGAAGATCTTTGAATTTGTCCTACAACATTTCAGCTAGGAATTTGGTGATACTGACAAGACCAAGCAGACCATTTGTAGATTTCCTTCCACATTTAGTTCAGTTAACAGTTCTTATTAAACCAAACATCCAGCAGCTGAATTAAATTTTGTTTTGGCCCATACAGTACATTATTGCAGTTCATTAATATTCACCAATACTCACCAAATGGGATACCTTAACAGATCCATCACAATTAGAAGGTTCACCCTTTTCTCTACTTTCCAAAATCTAGATAGAAAAGGTAAGTTGTAGAAAAATTAGTGCCTTCTTACTTGGAAAGAACTAATAGATAGAAAGAGAGAATTACCTACCATCCTAAAGATGGTATGAGAACGACTGCTTCTTTGATTCATTTTTGTTTCTCCATAATGTCTGTTCTCTGTAAAAATGAGTTACATTTCAGCTGCATATATATTAAAATCCAAAGAAACAATAATTTTTATTTTAACTTAAAAAAGTTGTGATTTGAAGCCTAAACACACTTGATTGAAAAGATAGTTTTTACAAGTGTTTTAAAGAAATACAGTATAAAGTCTTACTTTCTCCCTTTGTAATCCATTTCAATACCATTTCTGATGTATACACAACTTCTTCTGTGAGATCAGCAACATACACATTCCTCTGAAACAAGTTTAATTATGGAAAGATTAGAGAAATAGAAGTCACAAGTTTGCTTTTCAAAAGAGGGTGCAAACTATTCCTTTGTGAAAGTTAAAAGTGGAAAATGGAACCATAATTCTGTAGGAATATAAGAATTCTATGAATACCCACAATGTATTTCATATCAAAGCACACCAAATTGTAACCTGATACTTCCATCTTGCTATTTTTACACTTAAACCAAAATATTAGAGCTGTATTTTAAAACTATACATATTGTTTAAAAGATGAATCTCTACAAATACCTCAAAAAACCCCTCACATACTATAGAAATAGGAGACGCATTAAAACTATAGAAATTAAAGGTAGACATTCAAGAACAACAATCCCAATAAGTAAGCCAATTTTAAAGCCCCTTTAAGTCTGCTACTCACACTGACGTCTTCTCGAATAATTAAAGGCTTCATTTTGTTAGTGCCACAGAGTAAATCTGTAATGGTTTCATTGTATATTTCCATGTAAGATACACGTAAGAGAAATTCCCTATCAGGAAACTAGGAGAAAAAAGTTACGTAAAAACACAGGAAGCATCCAATTGTGAAAAGCTAATACTAAATGCTCACCTGCTTAAAGAGGTTAAAAAAAAAAGTCTGTAAAATAAACTAAGAAAACCTTTGGTTCTAATGTTGACAAAATAATAAACACAAAAATATAAAAGCACTGTTACAGAAATAATTAAAAGTACCATAAAGCTAGGAGAACACCAACTCTCTAGGCTCAGAATAAAACCCGATCAAAAGATGTTCTTATTTTAATAAAAATGTTAATTTAAAACCAACTCTTAACTAATTAGGTTGCCTATTCTGGCTTTCTGCTTCCCTTCTTCTTCTTCTTCTTTTTTTTTTTTTAACCTATATCTACTTTTTACTGTTCCTTTATAATCACTGATAGTTAAATGGTTAGGTGGAGCTAACCATTCTGATAAAATTTACTTGTTCCTTAATGCCTACTTTTTGTTGAGAGTATTATTGTTGCAGAATTCAAGGGAAAGAATACAAGAACTTGAAGCTTTATAAAGTAAGTTGTGGGGATAAAAGTGAATCTATGCTATGCCTTTCTTCTTTTCCCATCAATAGTCAAACAATAACTATAAATCTACTTCCTTTCATCTTTACAAGAGAAATACACTATGACTGGTACCTAGTTATTACTACTTTCACCTGTATGTACTAAAAATCCAGTTAAGTCACTTACCTTCTTAATTTTTTGGAAAATGTCATGAATTGCCCTGGGTATAACTCCCAAATGATCTTCTGAACCCATCATAGTATATGTTTTTCCTGAAGCAGTCTGCCCATAGGCAAATATGGTACCTGTAAAAAACAAAACACACATATGCAAAGATTAAAAACAAATCTATAATGGGTAAAACAATGCATACTTGTTGAACAGATACCCAAGACTAAAATGTTTCTCCAGCATCGAGTGAATACAAACCATTGTAGCCTTGTATGGCAGAATCGATGATTGGTGCTGCTATTTCTTCATACACATTTTTGGTAGTTTCATTACTATGAAAGACACGATCTAAACAACAACAACAACATAGAAGTTAAACCAAATGAATCAACTGTGTTTTCATTCCAAATTAGTAGTTATTCCCAAAAGTAAAATCGTCAGAATGTAGAAAGATCAAATATAAGACACAGTATTTTAATTTTTTGGTTCTCTGAAAATATCCTTCCCTAAGGTAAAATGAGTTCACCTTCAAACACAAAAATTATGCTATAAGTCACCTTTTTTATTTCTTTCAAGAGGCATAATGTTTGTACATGGGGGTCTGGAATCTATCTAGATTCAAATTAGACAACTGCGATTATAACTGTTTTAAATACTAATTGGTTACCTTACTTAAATACATGATGGATAAATAATACTTTTTTTCCAGTGAAGCAGTTTACAGAAGGTTTAGTCTATAGTGAGAAACCTAATATTATTGACAAGCCTTTTGTACTTTTAATAGCAAAAGGATAACAAGCTAACTTTTAATGCTATTACAAGCTTACCAAAATTGAAGGATTTACTTCCATCAACTTGATAAATGGCATTATTGTCAGTTTTCCAGTAAACTTGGGCAGTTTCTCCAAGTGATTCTTCTCTAAAACAATAAAAACACTGCATTTTAACCAGTCATAGAAGTCATGTCATAGGAGGGATAATTTAAAAGATTTCATCTTCTAAAGAATATTTTGAAAGATAGTAATATGAAAATGACAGAAAGTCCATCTTTGAGGATTCAACACTCTTAAATGGAGCTTCAGTGACCTGCCTTCTCATGTGTTTTTTTGTGAAGGCTTTCATTCTCACCCTCTCCCCAAGTACTGGCAAATGAAGGGATGGATTCAAAATGCAACTCTGATTATGCCTGTCTTGCTGAAAATTCTTAAAACCTTTTGGAAACTTATGAAATCCTCAGCATGGTACACGAGTCCTAGATCATTTCATTCTCTCTTCATTTTCCTCTGAATTCATAGATACATCCTAAGCTCCACCTGAAGGTCTTCCCTAAATGACAGATGTAACCTCTCTGTGCCTGGAATAGTGACTTTACTTTCCATTAAGTAACACAGCCATTATTTCACTCATGAAAATTGTCAAGACTTTGCTGACACCAGTTCGCCCCACGGAAGCTGTCATCTCTCTGATGGGTTAATGATTCCTCTAGCAAACACTCTCCACCTGCCCATGAAAACACTTGTCACAAGTTATCCTAATGGTTTCTTTATGCAGCGGTTGAAGGCATTAGATAATGGGCTCCTCAGAATATAGGAAATTCCTGATCTTGGTATTTTCATTTATTAATCCCCATGTTAAAGAAAAATTTCTCACACACGCAAATTGTTAACATTTTGGGACGAGGGCCAGAAGCTGGCGAAGCAAACCGACTTCATTTACTCCTCTTCCTGCTTTTTCTCCACAGCATTTATTACTTACATATCACCATTTAACATCCTACATTTTTAACTTTTTTTTCTTTCTCGCCCCATTACAATGATAGATCCACTGGGCAATGACGGGAGTGTCTGTGTAGTACAGGACAAAGTACTAAAAAAACAATATTGATAAATATTTGTAGAATGAAGTCTTGAGTGACGACTGAACGCAATGTGACAGACCGACTAGTCCTTGTCCTCAGGGAGTCTGGAGACAGCAGTTACATGTAAAATGACTAACTGTGATGAGGGTCAGGAAGGAACAGTTCCCTACGTCTTCTCCGGGGGGGGAATGGGGCAGGGAGGAGGAGATGAGGCGAGGCAGAGCAGCGCAGAGGGGAAGGTCGTTAAGGTCAGTGAGACTAAGTTAAATTTAAGTGCACGTCGCAGCGGGGATGTATCTTCTAGCTCTCCGATCCTCCCCTGTCACTTTAAAGACATAGAAATCATGGCCAGAGGCCGAGTTATTAAACAGCAGAGCCGGGTAGCAGCGGCTCCTAGAAACGCCGCAGGCTTCGCCTCTACGGCTCAGGGCGGCATTGCAAGCCCAGCGGGCACTGGGCCGTGGTGTGGCCCTCCTCCTACCTGCTGTTCAGCGGCCGCACTCGCACGCAGACGGCCACAGCTCCTTCGTCCGCCATCCTGTCAAGCTGAACAGAACCCAAAAAAATGGCCAGGACCCTCCGCGGCCAGCGGTTCAGGGCTCACGGGCCGCCCCGCCTTTAAATTTAAAATTTCCCAAACGACGCATCTGATTGAGCCGTGGCCTCGTGACGTCATGAGCCGTTCCACCTGCGGCGCAGCGCGGGGGACGCGAGGCGGTCGGCGCGACCACCGCTAAACAGGAGAGGGGGATTTAAAGGGCCCGGCAAAGAATCGGAGGAGGGGGTGGCAGGGAGGGCCTCCCGGGAGTGGGTGGAGAGCGGTGGTCCTGGAATACCAGAATACCATTATCTGCCAAATGGCAGCGAACGTCATCCTCCACCCCATTCTTAAAGAGTTTGCAACCTGTAGATGAAACTAGGCAGAGACACGTATTTTTCGCTACCAAAACAGAATTGCAGTCTTTTAAAGAAACTGCACTAACAGTTTAAAATACACTTCAAACATCAAGAGTTGAAACTCACTCACTGTCCAGTCCAGAAACGTGACAAGCCTGTTGTGCGCCTTAGAAAATCTGTTTAGGCCTTTCTTTTTTCTTTCTCTCTCTTTCTTTTCTCTCTTTTTCTTTCTTCCTTTCTCTCTCTCTTTCTTTCTTTTCTGCAACTCCTTTCCATTAGCTGTGGCTTCCTAATACGTCGAATTAGGGAAAAGAATTACTGAGGACTCTGAGGACTGAAAAACTCATTGAGCAATGGGTCGATACTTTTTTTTTTTTTTTTTTTGAAGGCGGAGTCTCTCTCTGTTGCCTATGCTGGAGTGCAGTGTTGGTATCTGGGTTCACCGCAACATTTACCTCCCGTGTTCAATCGATTCTCCTGCCTCAACCTCCGAGGATTACAGGCGCCCACCACCACTCTCAGCTAGTGTTTGTATTTTTAGTACAGCCCTGTTGTCCAGGCTGATCTCAAACTCCTGACCTCAGGTCATCTGCCTGCTTTGGCTCCCAAAGTGCTGGGATTACAGGCGTGAGCCACTGCTCCTGGCCTGGGTTGTTACTTTTATTAACTGAAAGGGAAAGCTATTCTAAGTACAGTATTTTTTTCCCCTGCAAAATAATTCTTGCTTTCCCTTTGTGTCTCTCTTTTTATTTTTTCATTTTAAAATACAGATGAGGTCTTGCTCTGTCATTTAGGCTAGAGTGCAGTGGGCTGAACACAGCTCACTGCGGGCTTAACTCCTGGGCTCAGCCCAGGAGGGATTCCCGCCTTAACCTCTTGAATAGCTTGGACTAAGGCACATCACCAGCTCAGATAATTTTTAAATTTTTTTGTAGAGATCGAATGGGGGAAATTGGGGTTGTGGGAGTTGTATCTCACCATGTTGCCCAGGCAGGTCTTGAACTCCTAGGCTCAAGTGATCCTCCTGCCTCAGCCTCCCAAAGTGCTGGCATTACATGTGTGAGCCACCGTGATCAATTATTATGTGCCAGATATGGTTCCAGGCTCAGGAAGCATGACAGTGAACAGAATAGACAAAGCACCTGTTGTTATTCTCTTAGGAGAGATGGATAATACAGAAAAATCTCAATCTCAATCTCTCTCTCTCTCTCTCCAAACACACACACACACACACACACACACACACACACATACACACACACACACCTGTAATGTAATGATGTGATAGACACCACAGAGTGAGTGATAAGTTGGGACTGGAGTACTAGTTGCTTATGAAACATATTCTTGTGGGAAGCAGTACACAATACATAATAAATACATAGTAAAATAACATGTTAGGAGGAAGGTTTGCTTTAGATGTTCAAGAAAGACCTGAGGAGGTGACTTTTGAAGTGAGACCCCTATAATAAGAATGAGCCAGACTTGGCGTCAAGAGAAACGGCACAGCAGACAGAGGAACAAGTAAGTAAAAGAATCCAAGGCTTGATTGAGTTCGTCATCTATCTGAGACACAAAGGGGAAGGACCTGCGACTGAAGGATTTATGGCAATGGAGAGAGGTAGGGAGGTCCAGGTCCAGGCCCATGGGGTCTTTAGGGCTGGACCTAAATGTTTGGATCTTATTCTCAAGGGTGAGGGGAAGCCTATAGAGAATTTTAAGCATAGGAATAAAAAGAGATTCATTCCTTCAAACAAGACGTTCTTTACTATGAAAATAGAAGCTTCCAGAAGAGACTTTGTCCTAGCTCCTGTCAAACTGGCTACCCACTATGTGCATCTGTTCTTGCATACTTGCCTTCCAGGCTGTAACTTGATGAACACCTGTGTTTTCCACCCTGAAAATTCTCCATGTGTGCATGGGATCCAGTCCTCTTCTTCTCAGTCTCTGTCCTGCATTGTCATTTTCTCCTGCTCTAGTAAACCAATCTTACTAGCAAACACGTGCCTTCATTTCTCCCATATTGAGTGTCTAATAGATATGACAAACTTAAAATGTCTAATACCAAATTCATGCTCTTCCTCTCAAAATCTGCTCAATCTGCAGTTTTCTGCTTCTTAATTGATGGCAAGTCCATCCTTAACGGTTATTGTGGTGCAAACTCTGGAGCCATGCTGCTCAACTTCTCACCTGAAAATTCTGTCAGGGCCACCTTGAGAATATTTCAGAATATGACAGTTGATCACAATTTACGCTCCAGTTTCCTGGTCCAAAATACCATCATCTCGCATTCAACTCATCTCAGTGTTTCTACCCTTGCCCACCCCGACTGCCAGTTTGTTCTCAACACAGCAATTTGAGTGATTTTGTGAAAATGTGTCAGAGTATGTAATTCCTTTCTCAAGACCCTGAGTGCCACACCTTCACTCCCATCCTCTGATTTCTCTCAGAACAAAACCCAACATCTTTCAGTTGTCTCCCAAGCCTCACATTGGTCTTGCCCCTTGTACTCTCGGGCCTTGCCTCCTACCACTCTCCCTCCCCCTTTGCTCTCCTGACTCCAGCCACACCAGCCATTGGCAATTTTCTGAATCCTAGACAAGCCCCCTCTTAAGACTTTTGCACTGGCTGCTCTGTCAGGATGGAAGGCTCTCACTCCAGATATCCATGTTTCCTTCCTTTCCCTTCATTCCAGTGTGTGCTCAAATGTCACCCTCTCATAGCCCTCTCTGTATAAAATAGCAACTCCATTGTGTGTTACTTCTATTTCTTAAATCTTCTTAAAGAAGTTACAAGATGACTTGTAACTTTTAAAATTAATGTGTATGTGTATTAATTTATGTATATGTCTGTCTTCTCCCACTAGAGTGACATAGTTTTTGTTTACTCCTTATCCTCTGTGCCTGGAAAGATGGTTGGCATACAGTAAACATTCGATTAAAAAATCATTTATTACTAAAGTATTACTAAAATACTTATTTGCATAATTTCTGGAAAGATACACAGAAAACACCTAGCTTTTTTTTTAAAGGGAAAGGACTGAGTTGGAAAATCAATTCACCATTCATTTTACATTATTTCATAACTCTTAATATTTTAACCACATGGATATTAGTTTCTCTCAAGTTAAAGAAATTAGTTGACATAAAAGAGTGTCTAAAATAGAGTCTACTCATTCAGATTTGTTTTGGTTATCTAGCTGTGAGCTAAGATAGATTGCCCTTTTTCATGACTAAATTGTGAAGAGGGAGGGATGCTTCTAATAAGAAAATCCAGTACTGTGGTATATATATATATACCATGAAATACTACTCAACCATAAAAAGGAATGAAATAATGGGATTCATAGCAACCTGGGTGGAACTGGAGACCATTATCCTAAGTGAAGTAACTCAGGAATAGAAAACCAAATGTCATATGTTCTCCCTCATAAGTGGGAACTAAGCTATGAGGACTCAAAGGCATAAGAATGATACAATGAACTTTGGGGATTTGGGGGAAAGGGTGGGAGGGAGTGAGAGATGAAAGTCTACACACTGGGTACAGTGTACACTGCTTTGGTGATGGGTGCACCAAAATCTCAGATATCACCACTAAAGAACTTATTTGTAAAATAAATAAATGAATACATAAATAAAATCAAAGGAAAATGACCAACATTCATGGAACTGGAGGCCATTGTCCCAAGGGAAATGACACAGAAACAGAAAGTCAAAAACTGCATGTTCTCACTTATAAGTGAGAGCTAACCACTGGCTACACATGGACATTGTATTAGTCTGTTCTCATGGTGCTATAAAGAAATACCAGAGACCGGGTAACTTTTAAAGAGGTTTAAATGACTCAGTTCTGCATGGCTAGGGAGGCTTCAGGAAACACGGTCATGACAGAAAGCAAAGCAGCAGCAGGCATCTTCTTCACAAGGAGGCAGGAGAGTGAGTGGGAGCAGGGGAAATGCCAGACACTTATAAAACCGTCAGATCTCTTGAGAACTCAACTCCGTAACAGAGACCAGCATGAGGGAAACCATCCCCATGATCCAATCACTTCCCATGACACATGGGAATTCTGGGGATTAAAATTCAAGATGAGATGGTGTGGGGACACAGCCAAACCATATCAGACATATAGAGTGAAATGATAGACACTGGCAACTCCAAAACATGCCAGAGAATGAGGGGACTGAGCAATGAAATACTACCCATTTGGTACTATTTGGGTTATGGGAACACTACAAGCCCAGATTTCATCACTACGCAACATATCCATGTAACACAACTACGTGACATGCACAATTGTACCCACTAAATCTAGAAAAATTTTCAAAAGGAGAAAAAAAGAAATAAGCACTTTCTAAGAAATGGACCAACTAAATCCAACTAAAAAAAGTTAAAAAATAGAAAAATAAAAATAAATTGCCTGGTCAGGGAAAGCATAAAGATTAAATAACTTATCTAAAGTTATGGAACTTCTGGGAAGAGAGGCTTAACATTTGGATGCCTACCATTTCTCCAACGGCAAGCAACATTTTTATTAACTTTTTTTTAACCTGAAAAATTAACACCTGCCTGTGATAAAAATATTCAAATGAACAGAAGATTCACAGTGGAAAACAAATATTCCTACATTGAATCCTAAGTGCCATTTCGCCTCCTTGGAGGCAGCTGTGTCATTTCCTCAAGTGTTCTCCTCAAAATAATTTACAGACATGACACACATATAGATCTTTTTCTATATTGCATCTTTTA